TCTACTGAAAATTATTTTACTTCCTGTTGAAAAGGAAGTCTGAGTAATTGAAAAATTTAATTGACGCCTAAGTTAAATGGACCGGTTTACAAAACTTTAAAAAAAATTAAACCAGTATTCTTAAGCAATAACTGAAAAATGTTATAAAATTTTACATCAAAATTAGTTTTAAATTTCCTATTTCCTTCTAATATATTTGCCTATTTTGTTTCTTAATTATAATTACTGCCTACGAAAGAGTAAAAGCTTAAAAGAGTTTTATAAGACCTTGCGCACCGCGACCAATATTGGTCTATTGTGCTATATCCATTTAACTACAGCTCTCCATCGAGCTTGGCTTTTCTACCAGATACCAAAGCTTTGTTAAGGGCTCCCGCTTGCGTCCATCAGTCCTTGGCTTTTCCTCTTCCAGGAATAGACATCTCAGTCTTCAGGAGACATGTCCGAAGACACAAAGGACATATTTTGTTGTTTCTTGTTTTCCTGGGTTTAACTTATTATATCGACACAAGCAAGTCAGCAATCTACTATCATTCTAGTCCTAACACGTCCTAGGTTTAGTAATTCTGCTGCTAGTTCCAGCTATGGTCTTTTAATGAACTTTTCTGTTCATTTTTAGTTTATACATTTTTTCATTAATTTTACACGTATCTAACGAACTTTCTTTTTATCTATTTATCATTCTGTCTTTCTGTTCATTTATTTCCAATCTACATGGACATATCTATTTGCTTTCATGTCTAGGGGTATTTATTAAACTTCACAAACCATTTGTTTTTACTTTTTATTACCAATGCGTATTTCTGGACCACTGCCCGTATCCCTTTTCTCAAGGCTTCTTTGAGCTTAGAACATACAATACATTTTCTTTCATTCTTATCTTTCATATTTTCCTTCCTTTCTCTCTCTCTCTCTCTCTCTCTCTCTCTCTCTCCCTCTCTCTCTCTCTATCTATCTATCTATCTATCTATCTATCTATCTATCTATGTATCTGTATCTATATCAATCATGGTCTTTCTTTGTCTTGCGTTCCCTCCCCTTTTTCTATTATCTTTCTCTCTTTCTTTCTCATTCTTTCCTATATTATTGATTTTTAAACCTCTCTTACTCTATGTAACTATCTCTTTATTTTTCTATACTTTTCTTTCTTTCACACATTCTTTCTTTAAGACATTACATATCTTTCCAATCTTTACTTTTTTAGATTTCATCTATAGACTCTCTTCACTATCTTACTATTTCTCTCTTCTCGCTACATTCATATATTCCAGTCTTCTTATATTACACTTATGATATTCTTGTCCATCTATGTACCTACCTATTTTTTTATTTATACATATCTCTTTATCTATCTCACCACTTTTCGCTCCTATCTCTCTCTCTTTCTTTATTTATTTCTCTCTCTCTCTCTCTCCCTCTCTCTCTCTTTCTCTCTCTCTCTATCTCTATCACCCTCTCTCTCTTTCTCTCTCTCTCTCCTCTCCTTTCTCCTCGCATTATTTCCTGTACTATGTCTTTCATCTATCTATTTCTATAATTATCATATATTATCATCCTCTCATTGTCAATTTGTGTATTTATCTATCACCCTCTTTCTTTCTTTCTCTCTCTCTCTCTCTCCCTCTCTCTCTCTCACTCTCCTCCTCTCTGCCTACCTCGCTCTCTTTCTCTATCTCTCTCTCTCTCTCTCTCACTCACTCTCTCTCTCTCTCACTCTCCTCCTCTCTGCCTACCTCTCTCTCTTTCTCTCTCTCTCTCTCTTCCTCTTCCTCTTCCTCTCTCTCTCTCTCTCTCTCTCTCTCTCTCCCTCTCCCTCTCCCTCACCCTCTCCCTAACCCTCTTTTCACCCCCTCTCTCACTCTCCCTCCTTCTGCGTATATATCTCTTCCTTTATTTTGATTTTACTAATATTTCAGGATAGTATGAGAGTTCATTACCTGATGTTTGGTAACACGCACGCTTTTAGTTCTCTAGAACACGTTGGTTATTTGTCCTGTATATCGGATTCACCGAAAACTGACTTCTCCCGGAAGAAAACTGCAAAGGGTCCTAAAATACGAAGTCAATTATGTTTATCAATCAAACCTCTTTAGAAAACATTTTACAAGATTGAAGACGGGAGAACCGATTCTTCAGAGAGATCGGAATTTACCAGCTTTCAGCGGTGAGCCAAAGGGCTTTATTAAAGAGATCAAACCTTAAAAATCCCATTGGTTATGCCCCATCTCCTGGAAGAACGAAGATTAGTTATTGGCATCCTTACAGGCCGTTGTGCTCCTGGAACACCATGGCCCATTTTTACGAAAATAAGATCCTGACAGTTCAAAAGTAATAAGTTTTAACCCGTTGAGGTGGTATTTGTTAATTTTAAAATGTGGGTCATCTATTATCACTATCTTCCGAAAGTGTATAAAGCTCATAATTTTAACTAATAAAAGAAGGCTTGGGAAGGATCTTGTATAAACTTTATATGTAGTTTTGTTGATTTGTAAGATTTGTAAGTTTTTCCCTAGGAGACTCAAATTTTTCAGTTCAAACCCAGACAGAAGATGTAGAACGTGCATTGCCCCTATCCAATTTTGTTATCGGATCATAGAAAACCGATGAAATTGGCATACGCGTAACTAGAATAGTCAATTCCTACGTCGATTCCCACAATCCTATTGGCGTTCCGCTCTGCTTCTGAAGCAAATCAGAGCAACTGGCAATTATCACGGGGCGATGGCAGGTACCATTGGATTACTCAGTATTTTTCCTATTATTTTTCAACTTTCATTTTCAGCTTTCAATTTATAACCGCTTTTTAACAATCCTGTTAGTTTTTATTGAATAATTTTACGAATTGATAAGAAAACGCTAATTAATAACGGTAACCGGTGTAAAGATGGATGGGATATCGCAGATGCACCGTTTTTTCCAAAGACCACTGATTTTACTTAGATTTTCAAACGCTTTCTGCCCGACTGATTAATGTATGATGCAGTTAGAAGGAAATGACAAAGAAAATGACTTATGGCGTGATCATTTGAAAAGTGTTAAATAAGCAGTGCATATTGATCACTTCCTGGTGTTTATTTTTATATAACAATTCGCGTGATAAAAATATTCGAAGAAGACGTATATCTTTAATTATGCTTTAATAATAACATATAAACGGACCTTATTTCAAGGTTTGAAGAGGTGAAACCACGAAGAGCTAGTTTAAAAAATGACATCTGCATGAAATCATTAAATTAATAACTATAAAAAATAATAACAAACCGCAAGTGCTGAGACGAAGCAACGTTAGGATTATAAGAAGGTCGAGGCAGATCGTTAACACGTAGCATTTTCTCCACTCATTCTTTTGTTATTTTATTCCGCATTGAATGGAATATTTTTGCTTTCTTTTGCTTTAAATTGACGATGGCTAGTTTATAATTGTATATGACGTAAACTGATGATTGACGTGACATTCAATGCCCATTCATTTTACTCCTGTTTCATCAAGTTCCAACAAGTTCATAGGTGACATGGTTAACAACCAATTTTGGAATATGTACAACAGACCGAGTGGTTTTAAGTTAGCGTAAGCCTGTGATTAATTAATTTTTAAAAAATTTGCCTTATTCTCGAATATTTTTTACATTGTTTAACCTAAAAAAAAAAAGTAACGATGAAAATAGATTATCGACCTGCTGGATACAAGAAGTTCTTTTCAGAGGATCTTCGGAAGGAGGAAGATCCTCGGAAAAGAACTTCTAAAAAAAACGTTTAATCAAAAAATACTTGAGTAGAGAAACTTTAGGTTATAAGCAGGGAAAGGCAAAATTCTGATGCCTTCTATTGGTAAATCCCGTATTGTTTATGGTCTCGAATCTGTTTTTTGATCTTTGTTTTACTAATTAAAAATAATTTAATTAAAAAATACTCCACATATTTAAAAAACGGTACTTTTAGGTGGATGCAGCAAGGTTAGGGTTATAAGCAGGATAAGGCCATATGTAACTAATCGTTACTTATAATTTCATTTGGTTCGAATTTTGCCCACGGGGCTTTTCTTAATTAACAATTAGGTCTGTTTTGGCGAAAGCGAGAGTGGAAAAGAACGACCATCAAAATAAGTCAGATTTTACACCGTTTAGCATCAACGAGAGTGACACTGTCAGGAAAATTGCCCGTTTTTCCGGGCGACTTTTAACTTTTTTCCTCACCCTGCAACGGCCGAGAGAGCAGACCGAGAAAAATGTCATTCAAGGGAAAAGCGAGCCTCAACAGGTCCCGTGGTTTCACGACTTGTTAAACCAATCTCATAAGTAACAGAACGTCAACAGCAAAGCCACAAGAATCAAAATCGAAAAATGCCATTTTCGAAAAAAGCAGAAATATTAATTATAGCCTTTATGTAAGGTCTTGGTTGAGATAAAAAAGTCAGTGTCACGAGCGGGATTCGAACCCACGACCTTCGGCTAAATACGCCGCTGCTCTACCACTTGAGCTGTCATGACTTCGATCCACTCGGACACCAACCTCCCTTCCCAACCCACCTTTAGAATTTTTCCTCCTTTTTGCCATTTTGCAAAAATTGTTATTTCAAGCAATACCTTACATACAGATTAATTAATTGAAAGAGGTTATTGGTTAATCGGACCACGAAATCTAATGGAATTAATTATATCGAATTCCAAAACGTAGATCAGAACAACGAGGCTTGGCTGATCAGGATTATCGGAAACGTGTAAACTGTTTTTATCTTTTGCTTACTAGTTGCATAATATTACAAACTATGATTGGGATGGTTTCAGCGATGTTTATCTATCTATTTTTATCCTAAATAAAACTGTTATTGCATATAGCTAGTTGTATCCATAAATCATTAGCGTGATAGGACGGACGAAACTATTCTAAATTTGCAAATATTGGGTGCAATTTAAAGCTCAAACTTAAGATCTTAATGCCTTTCCTGGTTTGTTTATTCGACAGAACATGTTCTAAAATTGATTTTTTTCTTAATGTTACAGAGAAGGGGTGGCATCTGTAGTACGGTGGCTCCTCAGGGAAGCAGAGATGCCTTCTTTGGAACCAAACCCGAATGGGGCCCTCGCTCTGCACTATGCTGCAGCGAGAGGCTGCCTCGACTGTGCAAGACTGCTGGTCGACACGAGCACTGGCCTGACGTAAGTAACTCCATAAAGTTACACAATTTCTTATTAACTAATTGCAATAATTATACCTCGAAACAGCTTTGAAACTTTAAACTTTAATAGATAGGAAACACATCAACTTCAACCTCATTGTGTATGTGGTCGATAAAAGAAAAAATATGCAGAAGTCTAATGATATCAATTATTATTGGAAGTATTTCCCTCGAATAGCCAGAATAGTTTAAAAAGATTTTCGATAAAGGCCTTTCAAGTGAATAAAACCTTACTAGGGTTTATGATGAACCAGGACTTTACTTTGGAGATGAACCAAGAAGTTACTTATTTGGACCGTCTTTACTCGCGAGTTTGTTAAATTACTAGGTTTCGGTACTGCGCCGTCTTCAGTGAAGAACTGCCCCAGACAAATTTAATTACCAAAAAATGCGAATTTAGATAGACCAAATAGGTAAGCCGGGTTTTTTAAAACACGGATTTAAAAAAAAAACTAAATTTGACTCCATTATATTGCGTGGTGCGATTGACCAAATAACTTCTTTCAATTAATTAATCTTTATGTTAGGTATTGGCTGAAATGAAAAATGGTAAAAAGGAGGGAAAATTCGAACGGTTGAGATTGGAGTTGGTGTCCGAGCGGATCGATGACACGATAGCTCAAGTGGTAGAGCAGCGGCGTATGTAGCCGAAGGTCGTGGGTTCGAATCCCGCTCGTGACACTAACTTTTTCCTTTATACCCATACCTTACATAATGATTAATTAACTAAATTTGAAGTTTCATCAGGCATCAACTTTACTAGAGTGGTTGAAAATTTTAACCATGATTTAAAAATCAAGTTTTGTCATTATTGAGAAGTTCTCTGGGTAAAAAGGTTTGCTTTTCACAAGCCCCAAATTTTTTAAAAATTTTGATATTTCTCGTTGTGGTTTGCTGAGAAATGAACCTGTAAATTGGTCGTTACCGATCGGTTTTGGTCTGCCTATCCTCGCTGGTATGTCTGACAGACGCGTTTCGGCATTTCGCCAACATTAGTGTTGTTATAAAATTTGTTCGTTGTATTGTGAAAAAAAATTGGAGGATTAGCGACACTATATATATATATTTCATAAAAGAACGTCTTTTGACCTTCAAGAAGAGAATGGTAAATTTGAAATTGACAAAAAATTATCAGTAAACTGATCATACACATGTACATTACCTTGTTAAAAAAAATCTGAGATGTAACGATACCACAATGTAAGAACGCCTTTTCACCCTCAGGAAGAGAAAAAAATTAAAAAAAGCCTTTTCAAATTGGATAAAGTATGTTAAGAAGAAGAAAAATAACTTTATTCTGGGACTGGTGTCCCCTTAGAATAATTTACATGAGACAAAATATAATAACCTTCTATGAAGTCACATAAATTTAAAAAAAAAAGGAAAAAAAAGATAGATAGAAATCGTGGCACAATGTATGCCAGTAAGGCGGGCCAGAAGAGAAAATTACGAGGTATATTAAACAAAGACAAAAATAATAAATGTTATCGTGAGGTCTCTGCTTGGAGGGAGAGGAGGTGATTATAAAGATGGGATTTAAATGAGGAGAAGGAGGCAGCGTGACGAATAGATAGGGGAAGGGAGTTCCAGAGTTTAGGGGCTCGGATCAGAAAGGATCTTTCGAAGGTATGGGTTGTATGTTGCGGAAGGATAAGGTCGATTGGGGATGAGCGGGTTTTACGGGTGTGATGTGAGGAGTTGAATTGGAGGGATTGGATGATATAAGGAGGACGACGAGTGTGGATGGACTGGAAAAGAAAGCAACCTAGGAAATACTGGGCACGGAAGGAGGGGAAAAAAAGTAAAAGTAAGTAAAAGTAAAGTATGCTAGAATCGTTGAACATTTTGACCATTATTAACTGATCAAATTTTGTCAACATTGGTAAGTCCCTTAGGTACAAGTTTTGTTCTTTCACGATAGGCTCCAAAACGTTTCTAAAAAGTTTGAGATTTTGCCATGTGATCTGTGGAGAGATAAGTGTGGGAATTGGTCATTACCGATGATTTTTGGTCTGTCATCATCGCTGTTTGGCCTATCACACCCGTTTCGCATTTCATTACGTTGAGTCCATTTTATTTATTGGTCTATTGACCAAATTACTTCTTTCAATTACTTAATCTTTTTATGTAACTCTTTTGTTGAAATGAAAAAGTCAGTGCCACGGGCGGGATTCGAACCCACGACCTTCGGCTAAATACGCCTCTGCTCTACCACTTGAGCGGCGTATTTAGCCGAAGGTCGTGGGTTCGAATCCCGCTCGTGGCACTGACTTTTCATTTCAACCAAAACCTTACATAAAAAGATTATGCTCAGTGTTGATTTTTCAAAATTTGTAGAGTACATTGTTAAAAAAATATCTGAACATTAGCGATACCGCACGGACCATCTTACATTTCATGTCTTTTTGCCCCTTTTGCCCAATGCCTTTTGACCCTCAGGAAGAGAACAAAAAAATTTGAAAACAATGAAAGCCACTTCAATTGGTTAAAATATGCTAGAATCGTTGAAACTTGTGATCATTATAAACAGATAAAATTTTGTCAACATTTGTAAGTCCTTTGGTTACAAAGGGTTTGTTCTTTCACAAGAGGTTTAAAATCGTTAAAAAAAAGCTGAGAGTTGTCCTTGTGGTCAACGGGGAGATGAACCATTAAATTGGTCGTTACCGATCATTTTTTGGTCTGCCTATCCTCCATTGTTTGGCATAGGAAGAGAATTAAACTTTCATAAAGAGTTTAGATAAAGCCTTCTCAATTGGATAAAGTTTTCTAGGATTATTGAACATTTGAAGCATTGTTTACGAATCATCAATTTGTATGTCTTCCAGTCCTTTTCCATAGAGGTTCGTTTTATCCCGAGAAGCTCCAAAACGTTTAATTTTAATTTCTTCATGTGGTCTGAGGGAGCTGAAGTTGGTCATTACCGGAGTTTTTTGGTCTTTTTATCTTCACTGTATTGAAGATAAAACTAGTCTAGCACACGCATTTCTGCATTTCGCCATTTTCAGTGTTGTGGTAAAATTCGTTAAAGTACTTTCAAATTGATTAACCTTGCTTGAATTGTTGGAAACTTTGACTCTTGTTAACAAAACAAATTCAACTTTGTACGTCCTTTAGATTTATTCATTCTTTCCCAAGAAATCCCTTCAAAAATTTATTTATTTTTTAAAATACGTATTTCTATGTATTTCTTTGCTATTTATGTATTTAATTTATTGTGTATTTATTTTAGTGAATAATCTGGAGTTTTCGGTTCTGCCATACTTCTAGGTTCTACCAGACTTTTATCCTTTCTTGACTTTGTTAGTACTAAACAATTTTTCTTTTTAATATGCTGGCTCTGAAGCTTTAGTGCAAACATAACGTTATATACATGAGAAAAAAGTTGATAGTTTTCTTGCTTGTAGCCTGTCAGCTTGTCAATCATGTGAGAGTAACTGTTGTGTTTGCAATACAAAGTCCAATAAAATCAACTGGCTAGCTTGGGAAGAACATCAAACATATTAGCAGCCAATGTCAATGTTAAAAGTCACTGGCCTTACTTAGAAATCTTGATAACGGCCATAGAAAGAAGTTGTTGTGGAGTCAGAACGTAAATCAAACGGCTTCAGCCGAGCCGAATGTGACATAGGCAAGGTCCAATGAAAGGGCAAGTAGTTCCCGTTAGCCTATAGCCTGTCCCGTTCTCCGACCATCTCGTTCCATATATACTCGCTCGCCAGTCGAAATCTCACAGCCCCAATTACAAAGAGACGCCCTTCCCAGGGCGTTTTGCATAATTTCTCCCTCGGGACATGAAATGCATTTGTCTCATGCATTAGTACCAGCATGCAGTACAATTATCACTGCTTAGATATACGATTTGTCTGTAAATTACACCTTTTGGATTTCAGGGCGAACACTCAGATGGAGAACGATGTGACGCCGGTCTATCTAGCGGCGCAGGAAGGACACCTCGAAGTGCTCAGGTTTCTCGTCCTCGAGGCTGGAGGGTCTTTGTACATAAGGGCGAAAGATGGAATGGCCCCTGTCCACGCTGCTGCTCAAATGGGCTCTCTCACATGCCTCAAATGGATGGTAAGCAAGGCCAATATTATTTCACTCTCAGCCTTTTTCTCGTGTCAATATTTGTATTTTTTATATTTTGTGCTGAAGCTTCACGATTGAACTTTACCTACAATTAGATGAGAACCAATCTTAAAAAAAAACCCTTCTTCACACAACAACAGCTAATTTACAGTATAAACTGTAAATAAGATTGTGAAAAATCTTATGCACTGTGTACAAAGATGGTACTTTCTAGTTGTGCCAACACGATTCACTAGTGGTAACCAAACCGCACTTTTAACCGATGTGGTCGCATTCCGAATCTTCATTGCCGACAGCACACGTAATGATTGATTTCTCGGTGTATAATCACTTCTGTCTTCAGAAATCAATTCATTGATGACGAAAGAGCCAACAGAATTACGAGTGTGCAAATTTCAATTCTATCATAATCAAAGTATAAAAGAATGTTGAAGAAACCCTTTAAAAATGCGTTCATAAAAACAATAAATCTATAGTGACATAGATTATTAATTCTTTGATCTTTTTGTATATGTAATTTTTATCATTGTTTACATTGGCTCCTTTATTCAAAAATAAACTCTTAATATTTTTTCTATTATAGATGTCAACATCAAGTTATGACATAAAATTGTGACTTTTGCATTCAAATATGCTCTGAAATCCAAATGATGAAGTTCTGTTTAAGTAGCACGATAAATGATAAAAAGTGCTACCTACTTTGCAAAACACAAAAAATAAATAAATGAATCTATGTGTGAGTAAATTTGAACATGATCATTTTCTGACCGAGAGACGAAGCAAAGTTGGTTAATTTTTTATTTAAATAGTTTTTGTTGTCAAATTTTTCACCTTCCAATGATGATAAATTTGAAACGACTCCACTGTTCATATGAATCTTTATAGGAGTTCAAAATTCTACGAGCTACACATATTGGCACAAACCTGTGTAAATAAATCAAAACTGGATATCTAAAATAAAATGTTAGGAGAGAGAGTTTTTGTTGATTTCATCCTTAACTTTCTTATTTATAATGATATAAAAACCAAATGTTGTTCGTATATGCTTAAACATGAAATTAAGCTCTTTAACAGTTTTAATACCATCGAATTTGAATGAAATCAATAGGAGTTATGAAATTTTAAATGGATCAAGTAGCGGAAAAAAATTGCCTCCAGACAAACCAGCCAAAAATGTTAATTTTATGTGGTATAAAAATTTGCATCTAAGGGTCTTAAGGGAGCTTTCAACATATCTAAATGTATTTTATTTTTAACAAAAATGTTTTTTCGTCTACGTCAAGCGATTATTAGTTTTTTTAGCGTTTTACATATCTAATCTCATTTAATCGATCCGGCAAATTATTGCGTTATACTAGGTAAACAAACAAATAAACGACCTTAAAATACACGCAAAAAAGACAGAAAAACCATATTTTAAACAATTTTCAAACAACAAAATTTTTTTAAAAAAATTTTCTGCCCTAAAGCCGATTGGCAAATATGCTTGGGCACGTGAAGTGAGAAATAAGAAACGATGTTATTCCATCATGAAACAATTTAGGAGAAATCAGATTTGTACTAAACAGTAATATGTGAGGAGGATTGGACACTAGTATGACCGACCACAAGTCAAAAATAATTATGCTATAATGAATAATAATAATATTAATATAAAAATTAATATATTATAATAAGAATCTAAGAAAAAGATGTTGGCAGCCTTCCTTTGGCAATCAAAAATCGTTTGAAATCCACACAGATACCACTTATTTTTAAGTAGTATTAAAAAAATCGTCCTGCTTAAAACCACTCAAGTTCATTGTTGAAAAGTTTTTTTTCAGTATCATTATTAAAGTGAAGGGTTTTTAGAAACCATATTTATTCTAGCTTATAGCCATATGGCCCAACTATTCGTTTGCCAAAATTGGAGCGTAACCAAGTGAATGGCAAACAATCATCAGTATACGCCATACTTAATTATTAGTTGCATACGCCATTTAAAATTCAATATAGCGTACAGGGCAGTAAAACAATAATTCTTTGTTCATGCGGGTTAAAGTTTAATAAAATCAGTAGTAAGAGAGCAAGTCGATAAAATAGCAGGGACGAGAATTGCCTCGACCTTCTTATAACCAAAACATTGCGAAGTTTCGCTCAGAAATCCCGCAGATCATTAATTTAAGTAGGCAGTTGGTAAAGTAAAAAAGGTTTAATAGTATTATTAATGATCGCTCCGTTTAAAATCTCTAAAATACTTTTTTTTGCTTAATACTTTTTAAAAAGGTAGTTCCTACTCACAGTAAGTTGTTTTGCAACGATCCGGATTTCGAGCCTTTTAGCTCATCATCAGGTTGAAGGACTTCTACAACGTGATGATGAGCTAAAAGGCTCGAAATCCGGATCGGTGGAAAACAACTTACTGTGAGTAGGAACTATCCTTTTAAAAAGTATTGAACACCACACTCACTCCATTATTTATCATTTCTATTTTTTTTTGCTTTGTTTTGGAACATTCAGCAAGAGTACGGACCTATGAAATATCAAATTACATTATTTAACATGTCTAGAAATTCAGAATCATAAAGCAATAAATAAATAACAAGTAACGAGAGCAATAAAGATTGATCAACACAATAAGTACTAAGAATAAAAAATTCGGTACGAAAACAACAATAACAACAAAGGATAATAACAACATGAACAAATAAAAGTGCAGACCTACTAAATAAAAATTACATTTTGACAAAACTAACAATTTGAAGACACAAACTAATAAATAAATAACAAGTGACAGATGCAATAATTAACTATCAACTAACTACAATAAATTCTACAGAAGAATAAATAAATATCAAACACTCGGGAAGCCAATAGCCGTCTTACGAGGAGGGAATCCCCGCCGGCCGCAGAACGCCAGCCCCGGAGAGGCTCTCGTCCGTATTTTACACAATTTAAAAGGCTACTGTTCTTCATAAAACAGGTGTTTCAGGAGGATGTGGATAAAAACCGATTACAAAATATGACGCATGGTCCTATGGAAAAGTCCACATCCCCCTCACATCCCGGGGTCTAAATGTCCAGCGCGTTTAGAGAGCCCGACCCGAAGACAGCTCCGCATCCGGGCTGAACCCCAAGGGGATTGAACTGACCTCTACCTTAACGATTTCACGTTTACACGTTGATGCCACTATTTTGTAAGAAATAATATATGACCTGGTATACGTCCACTCTCTTAAGAGCAAGTAGGCTCTCCAGCTGGCCGGTTTGTTGATTTCTTTTATGTTGTACATATTTTCAAGGAAGTCTATTCTGGTTAACTCGTATTCTGGACACTCTAAAATCAAATGTTTGATAGTTTCTGGTTGATCACAGGTGGCACAGTTTGCAAATGCATAGTTCTTGTATGTTCTAGGAACAATTTTGACCGTGAATTTTTACATTTCTAATTTGTGATTAACAGTACACTGTGATATATCTCGCAACTTTTTGTCAATGTTAAGCCCTATTCACAACTTAAATGGGTTATTTATCCATAGGTATCTAAAAAAAATTGAAATCGAGTAATATGGAGAAACATCATAGGAAAATCCATTTAGATAAAATGCTATTAGGTTTTACGGACGGCGAAAAGTGATCAACCCATCATAGATAGAAATCATTGGTTGATTGCTGTAAAAAAGCAATTTTGAGATAGTTTTTTTTGGTGCGGTATTTAATGCATTACAGTGATAATGATCTTTATGTAATGAATTGGTTGAGATAAAAAAGTCAAGCGTCACGAGCGGGATTCGAACCCACGACCGCTGCTCTACACTTGAGCTAACCTCACTTCGGTCCACTCGGACACCAACTTCCCATGTCTACCCACCTTTCGAATATTCCCTCCTTTTTGCCCCTTTTTCAACCACCTTACATAAAGATTAATTAATTGAAAGAAGTCATTTGGTCAATCGGACCACGAACCCTAGTGGATTTAATAAGTAATAATAATTATTATTTAGAAATGTTTTTATGCAAATGGTGCGTAAAATGATTAGAAAAGATCTCAGAAGGGTTTTTTCTTATCATAAGAAAAATATTTAAACAATCGGTAATAAAATGCATATTTAATATAATAAATAAGCAATTAACCTATTTCATTTTAAACGATAAGTTGCGTAAAAAAGATACTGATTTAGTTTGGCGTTAGCTTTCACTAATTAACTCTCAAATTCGAAAATCACTTTCATCCTGTGACGGATCTCATCGTAATCCACAGTTACTCATCATTCATCACGATTCACTTTCAGATCGAAGACCAAGGAGTTGACCCGAACCTGAGAGACGGCGACGGCGCGACCCCTCTGCATTTCGCAGCGTCCCGGGGACACGTCGACTGCGTCAAATGGCTCCTGAGACACGGCGCCCTTCTTCTTCAGGACAACTACGGCAAAAGTCCCATAAACGACGCTGCGGAAAATCAGCAGATGCAGGTGAGATAGCCTTTGAAATAAGCCCCCTCTTTTTTTTCCTTTTAGAATGCGTTTATTCGCTAACGCAAACAGTTGTGATACAGCTTTCACTCATTAACTCAGAAATCTGAAGATAACTTTCATAAAAGAATGTTCTCGTCCTGATTTAATCCATATATTTCTGGCATTCATTTGCGTACTTTGAACATCTTGAAAATAATTCCTGCTACATCAGCATAAAATATTTTCTAAGATCATGCTTATTTAACAATGAAAACAGGCAGAAAACATGGGTGAAGATCTCTGAATTTATAAAATTCTAAACCAAAATTATGAATTTCCTTTTTTAAATTTATTATTATTGTGTAATAGATATATATCGGTATGTTTGAAAAAAATCATTTAAGCCTAAAATGAAACTATTTCCCATGTTTTACTTCTTTGGTATAACAATAAATATAATCACACGCTTAAAATTATACCTATCATGTTTATTAAGTAATTTTTCGGTTTTTAAAAAAATAGTATAATCAAAATATTTTCTCTTGAATAAAATTGAATTTTAAACACATATTCTTCTTACTGAGAATGGTAGATAAACTAGATTTTCTCTTTCGCGATCGGGCTAATTTTAGGGCACACTTGAATCTTTCCTGCCTCTTGTTGACCTTCGATGTTTCATATAAAGATAGTGTTGAATTGATTATTTAAATAAATTGTCTCAGTCTGAAAATCTGAACTGATTTAATTGATTTTTTGTTTTGCACGAAGAATTAGTATAAGACTCACTTGTATCGCCTGATTTTCATAATGGCATTCAGCTTGCTTCATGCTATCGTCTTAAAATGTAATGGTGCTTTTTAAATCTGAATTGGTCAATCAACGAATCTAATTGATCATTCATTTCATCAGCCGGCTTAGTATAGGCCCATATATGATTTTTTCTATCCCTTCAGTAATATCCAACAGATTCATAGCATAATCTTTGTTATGATAATTATTAGTTCTATACTCAGAATATATTTGGGCATCGGATTTTTTTTTTGTTAATTTTTAGCTGATCTTCTGGATTTGTCGTTTTGTAAAGCAGGCTGAGATTAAGCCTCACTCGCCTCCTTGGCTAGGTATGTCGACCTTTACGAAAAATATAACATATTAAATATTCAACTCATTCTCTGAGATATTTCGTCTATGAAAAATGGTGGATAAACCAGATGTTTTGTTTGATTAGTAGGATAAGTGTAGGCCAGACCTGAATTTCATGTCTGTCAAGTTCAATTTCCGTACGATTTATCTTGTTATATTTAAATAAATTCAAATTTTATTTTTTTTAAACTAATTTTGAGTTAATCTGGTGGTAAAAATATTTTTAATCAAGAATGTTGATGATTTATTGGAACTAAACACACCAGTTATTTTTTATTCAATGTATTTCAGTCGTTAATGCATTTCGGGTCATGTCCCTGGTTCTTATTCAGAGCTGCAATACTATATTATATTGTTATTTATTATAATATATTATTATATTTAATTTATTATAACATAATATTGTAACTCTGATGATGGACCACAGACGTGGCCCGAAACGCATTAGCAACTGAAATATATTGCATAAAAAATAAATGATGCGTTTAGTTCAAATAAATAATCAATATTCATGATTTTAAATAAAATGTTCGCTTACTTAATCGGACGATCAATTAATATACTGGATTATTGGTTTTATGAGCAGACTGTGTGTAGGTCACACTCGAAAATTATTGTTATCATGTTAACCTTCAGAAATATCTAAAAAGCACAATAATAATATACTCTTGCGTTATAGTAATAGGTTATCGAAAAATATTTTCTGATGATGTTTTGTCTTATATAAAATTTATATTTCACTAATAAAATTATCAAATTAGTTATTTTCAACACATAGTCTGGGATGTTCCTCTTATGAAGAATGATCAATACAATTGAGTTTTCGTTTCATTAATAGGGTAAGTATAAGACATGAAACTTGTGTCCGCCATCTTCACTATTTGTACGTTCAGAAATTTGTTTCTTTTGAATCTATAATTTTTTATCGTTCAACTGGATTTATTAAATAAATAAATAATAATAAATTATACTTATTCATGAAATGACAAATTATATTCCGGCCACACAATTGTACCTACTGTTTGCCAAATTGATGTTAAATTCAATTGTGTTTTCTGTAATAATATTTATAAATACCATTGATAATCTGATAATTTATGCTGCATTTATATATACAGATTCTTTAGCATATTTGGGTTTCTTTTTAGAGACGAATATAACCTACACAATCTTTCTTTTTACTTGGTCTGCCGAAACAGCAGGCTTTTAGTTTTGGTTTCAATACACGAATTGATTCAACAATGTCAAACTTAAAAAGGTATTTCTACATCCAAAATGCGACAAAAAGTATATTGTTGACCCCTGTCTGATTATAATAAGGACGATATTTCTTGTTATATGTCTTTTTTTCGGTATAACATGAAAACGGGCACAACCTCTGAACCCTTGGTCCTACTACTTATATCAACACGTCGCTAAAATATTAAATACATTTAAATTGAAAAACTTTTTTGTAATTTGAATCCATTAACCTAAGATGAAAAGATAGCAGCTGAGAGATTTTGTTTCCAATCTAATTAGATGAATAGTATTTTCATTGCGATGTTTGAAACGAAGTCCCAAACTACTAGTATTTCTTCTCCTTTTTCCTTTGAACCTAGTTTAATGGGTTTAAATTTCAACGAGACATAAAGACCAGTTTGTGATGGAATGCCTGTAGATTGCTAGTTTGTCCAAACCATCCGCCTCCTCCATCGCGTTTTTTTTTCACATTCTGTTCAATTTTCTCCCACGATTTAAATCGGAATCGCAAACTTTACTGAACATTTGGGAAGCGCTTTAAATTAAGCACGATTTTTGTAAAATTCCCCGACTTTCATTTAAACACTAAAATTCTTACAATCAAATTAAATTTTTTCTAAATTATGACATCTTAAAATTTTTAAATATTTGCATTATTTCTGTTAGAAATAAAATAGAAAAAGAACCTGGTAGAGTATTTTCTTTTAATGGAAATTTAGTCAGTTTTTGAACGGCATGTTAAAATTTGATATAGGACCAAGGGGTTCAGACATTATCTTTGTTTTTAAGGAGAAACTTGAGTTTTACCGAAATCAAACCCAAAACCAGAAGTATTAACTATTGGTAATCAGATAAGAGTCAATAAAATTTTTTTTGTTGCATTTCGGGTGAAGAAAGAGCTACTGAAGTGAACATTATTCATGAACCACCCTGTAAGTGTACGCTTTAAAAATTGGTACAAATCGATTTTCGCTATTTCTTAAGTTCTGTGATTTATTATGTTAAACTATGTAAGGAATAGATTATTATTATTCTAGTCATTAACATGATCTATTGCAATTTTTCACCACTAAAAATAAAGCAAATGTTAAAAAAAATTGGTACAGATAAAAATAATACAACTTAAATTTTTTTCTATAAATGGCAAAATAATTTAGGCCTTATTTCACTTTCAATACACTGCCATCTTTTTTATTAAAACAAATTAAACTCTAATGGAATGGACAAGAGTGTGTCATTCTCAAGGAAGTGAAGTCCAAATTCACAAAGGAGTTGGTATTAATTAGACGTTGTGTGTACACGTAAAAGCTTGAGAAAGGGAAAATATATCTTCGAATACGTCCTATTCGCACTAGGCCGAGGAAATACGGAAAATAAATTGACAGGAACTATTGTTACAAAAAATATTTAACAACAGACTCCATAAATAATTGCTGGCTGTCACCTCTGAACGCTGGCCGTCATGGGATATTCCTTCAACGGCCTGTTTACGTTCATACTCATTCATCCAACATTCTCGCTAATAAATGCATTCATACACAAGTAAGAGTAAAGGACAGATTAGGGATGGTTAGGGTTTTTTTAAAAATTATATTAGGTCATATATAAGTATGATGGCCATATTGGCTTGTAAATATTGAAATAAGTTCTCCCGATCCTTACTTTGATCCTAGTGTAGGTCACACCATTCTCTATAAATTTTTAATCCCTCCCCCCTAATTTATTAGCAGTATGTCCACCAGAAGGTGGCCATGTCGGAGTCGGGTGTTGCCTATTGTCAGTCTTGTCATTGTAATTCTGTCTATTTTTCTTCATTTTTCACCACAGATAAACTTTATCTGGTAACCGCGTCTTGTAGTTAAATGCATCGCTTCATAGAGAATTTTGAAAATGAATTTGACAAAATCATAAATATAGTTGGTCGCAATTGACCAGTTTTAATAAATAAAATGTGAATTTGGCAAAAATTATTTATAAAATACTTGAATCAATCCTTTACCTTCTCAACATCGGAGAAATGTTTAATGCTCTCATATGATTCCAATCCTGCAATTGCTTCGGACGAGCTCCAGGCTTCCTGCGAACAAACGAATAGAGCAAATATAAGAATAAAAATTATGAAAGCAGAAGTATGAACCATTCAAAGCGATGCCATATTGGTCAATATTCCCATTCGTAAAAAATAACTACCTGGAGTCATGAATAACCTGGAACCAACGATTGTACAGTAGTTAAACAGACGCTATTGTACAAACTGCTGGCACGGTAGAAAAAACAAATTGTCAATCTACAAAATGCTACAAAAAAAAATTTGGACGAACTGAAGGGTACCTACACCAACATCCAAAGATAACAGTCCTTCCAATCCAGTCTTCAGAACCTCCAATAATGTTTCTTACTAAGTGTACAACATAAACCTTCACAATGACCTCAAAACTCTTTCGTATAAAAAATAATTCGCAAAATATTTTCCTGGCTCTACAATAAACTCCCCAATCGACTAGTACAATCCTTATTTAGTAGAAACCACCCCAACCTCATCAGGCGACTGAAGCGGAGATGGCCTCCCAGGTTAGTTCCTCCCGAAAGCTGGGGAAACAATGGTGGTTAACTCCCATCAGGGATGATCTAGCATATTTTCATTTGTTTTTACCTGCGATCTATAAAGCACATATTTACCTTTTAAATTTTTACAATTTCACCCTTATCGTTCTGCCAAAACATGCAGCTGATGAGACAATTTTTTTTACGAGGTCGAGAGTGTTTTTGACTATTTATTGGCAATTCACTTTTTTAATAGGTTCATATAAAAGCCAGTCTAAAATGTTATATTCCACGAATTATCACATAGAAAAGGTTTGTGGGAAACTGATCGAACCCTTCTCACCCACGTTTGGTCACTAGTGACAATAGACGCCGGGGCGATGTCCTCTCGTAACCGCTTCCATAATTGATTGGTTTTGAAATTCGTCCTTTTATTCGGCAAACAATGGTCGCCGATGGAAGAAAAACCCAAATCCCTGGAAGCTACATATCGCAATTAAGTCAATTTAAAAATATGTATCGCATGCATAATCAATTATTGTGGAATGTTGATGAAGTTTGTTTACTCTGCCAGCGATAATTAATCGAGTTGTGCTTTTATAAACGTTTATTATTGATTAATCGAATCTTATTAAAAAAACTGTTTTTCTGTCGTCAGTGTCTCAACGAATTGGTCCAGCACGGAACTAGTCCCGACTACAGCGAAGATGCGAGGAGGTACGGCAGGTTCCACGGATGCACTTGCAGAATCGCCGACCCGACGAATAGG